TATATATTATACATATGTTATTGGGCCAGGCTCAATTCATTTACATAAACAAATTTTAGAGGTTGTTCATCTGCCCGAGACTTGCACAGTTCTCTTTACACAACCTAACCTCAATTTCGTAAATCTCGCCGAGGACTTGACAGTTTGGTCGCTCGACGGCCAACGCCCTCTGCCCTCACCACAACCGTCTCAAGCATCGCCGCTGTCGGCCCCCCGTTGTGCTTCTCAATCAATCGGGTAGGAACTTTGTCAATTTTCTAAATATTTTCATGTCTGTGAGACTGTGACTCTGTGTCTTTTGAATTTGATTATTATGCTTTGATACGCTTGAAACAGTCAATGAGATTTGAAATTATGATATATTTTCAGTGTTCCATCTGGTTGAAGTCTTGAAAATTTGAATCAATTTGAATATATTAATGATTAATCTCTTTTTCTAACTTTTTTAATTGAGAATGAGGTATTCATCTTAACTTCTCAAATAGAATACATTAGTTTTGGAGCACTCAAGCAGCAATGATTCGAATTTGATTATTTAATCCACCTGAATTGTTCAATTATGCTGATACAAATTTGATTATTTGTTCCACTTGAATTGTTCAATGAATGGCACATGATATTATTTTTTGGTATTTGTCTATATTTTATTAGATTGATATATATATATGTAGCTTCTTTCTTTTTATTAAATCAAAGGATTGTCAAATTTGTTAATATTGTAAATAAATTTATTAGTTGTCCCATCTGTGTTTTTCTTTTTTTAGTATTTGATTGTAATGAATTTATTCATATATTATTATCTCTTTCTATGATCAGATTTGCTAGACAAGTTATGACGGGAAAATACAAATTTGAATCAGGAAGTTCGAAAAGGAAAAAGAAAGAAAAGCAAGAGATAATAACAAAATCTCTCACCGGTTCTATGGATAGGTACGTTACACCTACAACTCATATAGTAGAAAATGAAGTGTTTGGTCCTACTGAAATTGTGCTGGAATTACCTGATACACCCTTAGTTGAAATTGGTCGAGATTTAACTGATTGACATTGAATTGATTCAGATGATAATGATAAAGGGGATGAAAAAATTGAAAACGAAAAAAATAAGTTCGAGAATGCAAATGATAATGAGGATATGAATGATAACCATGATAGAATTGTCAAAATTTGGACGATTTGTTCGATCCAGGAATTGAGAGGATAATATGTCTCAAAGAAAGATTTATTTTTTAGTCGAGAAAGGGCCAGTTAGAGTTACTAATGTTGTGTATCCCATTAACGACAAAGGTAGAAGTTTCAATGATAAACTTTACACTCGGTCTTTATCGAATGGGGAAAAACTTGATGGATCATAGTTAGTATACTCGGAGAAGAATGATAAAGTAATTTTCTTTTGTTGTGTTCTGTTCA